TGAGTCGGGGGGTCCCTGAGGGAGCGGGGAGAGGGCTGGGCGTCTGGGCCAGTGCTGCCAAAGAGTCGGGGGACCAGGGGGAGGATGTGAGACGGGTGACGGCTGGGGGGCGGCAGGGGTCTCAGGGGTTGGGACAGCCTGCCTCCCTGAGGGGGCTCGGGGGGTACCGAGGCCCAGGCATGAGACGTGGTGGGAGCTCGGGGCCAGCTCCGCGAGAGGGGCCGGGAGGTCCCCGGGGAGGCCGTGAGACCAGCGACGGCCTGGGGGGCCTGGGCCGTGGCCCTCACGCCCCCCACCCCGGCTCCGCAGAGGCGACGGTGCTGAGCTATGACGGCAGCATGTACATGAAGATCCTGCTGCCGGGCGTGATGCACACGGAGGCGGAGGACGTGTCGCTGCGCTTCATGTCGCAGCGGGCCTACGGGCTCATGCTGGCCACCACGTCGCGGGAGTCGGCCGACACGCTGCGCCTCGAGCTGGACGGCGGCCAGATGAAGCTCACCGTCAACCTTGGTACCGGCGCGCGCGGGGTTAATGCCCCCCTTCCTGGCCCCCTCCTCCCCCCCTCCCATGGGCATCGCCCCAGAGTTGGGGCGCTCAGGAGCGGGACCCCTTCCCCTCTGCAGGAGGTGCTGGGCTCATCCCAGCAGTGCAGGGGTTAACAGCCCCCCATCTGGGGGTGCCCCCCCTGGCTTTGGGGGTCCCTGCCCCTGCCCCCACCCCCCACTCGCGGTTTTTAACCCTTCATCGGCGCAGACTCTGCCAGCCTGGCAAGCAGCAGTCGGGACCAAACGCACCCCAGAGCTCCCTGACCCTTGACCCCTTACCTCCCACCCCAGCATGACCCCCCACCCTCGCTCCGTGCACCCCGCAAGCTCCCACATTCCACCCCGGACCCTCCCGTGACCTCTGAGCCCCACCCCCACCTCCCATCCTTACCATGACCCACCCCACAACCCCCAACTCCTGCACTCCTTTCCCATTGCCCCCTTTGACCTCTGACCCCCACCCCTGACCTCCCACCATTCGCATGACCCCCCCCAGACCACACAATACCCCGTCGCCCCCAAACTCCTGCGCTTCATTCCCAGAGCCCCCTTCGACCTCTGACCTCCCACCCCAAACTGGACCCCCCCCCCGCCCGGGGTGAGCTCTTTGGTCCGGCGCCTGCTTGCGCCCCGCTCTGCTGCTGCGGTTGATGGCGCGCGCCAGGCCCTGCTGTGCGGCCTGTGGCCCCGGGACCCCTGCACCCGCCCCCCGCCTGCCACGGAGATCGGGGGGCTCAGAGAGCCTGGCCACCCCCACCTCCGGGCCGCGGGGGCTCCCTCGGGGAAGGGGGGACCGGCAGCTCTTGGGGGGGCCCTGTTGGGTCCTCCCAGTCCCAACGGGCAGCAGGGGGGCACGAGGGAGGGGGAAAGGGGCGGCTGGGAGGGGGTGCACCCCCCTGTGCAGGCCTGCAGGAGCTGCTTGGCCAGGGGACCCCCGCCTTCCTCTCCTCGGCACCCGCTTTGGGGTGCCAGGGGCAGGGGGCCGGGACACCCCCACGCCACAGGCCACACAGCCAGTGCCCGCTGGCTCAGGGAAGGGGTGGGGGTTACCGGCTGGGACCCCTCAGAAGCAACTGCTCCCCCCTGCAAAGCCTCCGCCTGCCCCACACAGCCTCCGGCCCCCCGTCAGGCCCAGCTTGGGGTCCTGGTGCCCCCTGGGTTGCTCCGCACGCCCCCCAACACGTCCACACAGGGGTGAACCCCCTGCCCCCAGGGTAGCTGTGTGCAGATGCCATCCCCAGGGGCTGCGAGGCCTGTTCCCGTTCCCCAGTATGCCCCCCCCGCCCCCCCTCCAGGCCACGGGACCGGCACCCCCGTGCCTAAGCAGCTGGACATGCACACGTGTGCACACACACACACATACAGGTGTCACAGAGCCCCCAGGCAGGCGGAGACGGGCAGGGTTCGGGGCGACTCTGCTCGGAGCCGGTCCCAGCCGGAGGTGGGGGGCTGGGGGGGCCAGAGCCAGCGGCCAGGGCGCGCGCCGTCCCCGGAGGGGGCCTCCTCGGAGGGTTGGTGGCAGCCGGGACCGAAGGATGTAAAACTGTCGCCTTCTCTTTCTCTCCCCGCCCCGTCAGACTGTGTCAGGATAGGCTGTCACCCCAGTAAGTGCCCCCCGCGCTCGCGCCCGCTCGCGCTCTCCGTCTGGCGTCACGCGGCCGGGGGGGCGCCGGACGCCTGGTTCTGACCCGGGTGTTGGAGCAGAGGGCGTCTGGGGGCCCGGCTCTGGGTGAGGGCAGGGGGCCCGGAGCCCGGAGGCTGGGGCTCCCCTCTTGGCAGGTGCAGTGACACACTCGCACTTGGGAGGACTCCGACTAGCTGGGCCAGGACTCCTGGGCTCTCTCCCAGCCTGGGGGGGGGCCAGCACCCACACGTAGAGGGGGGCCAGGAGCCCCACACTGCCATACCCGCCCGGAACCACCCACTTCCCTGC